GTTTGCTGCGCTGCTGTTTACATGCATGAAAAGTGTGAATAAGAACGAGTCTGATTACACAAGGACCCTATACGACCCTATAATAGCACCTAGCCCTCTACATTTCTCTGGGTCCGAGCCCCGTACGAACCCGTAGGCCCAGGGAAAATAGGCATAGCAAAAAGTGATGAGGTAGGACTACTACAGTTCATTCATTTTTCCGGGTCGTGATTTTGGTGGAGTGAAAGAGAAGCAGCAGCGGCAGCGCCAATCTCGGCACTTGGCAGCTGAAGAAGAGGGTTTGGGTGGAGCCATAGCCAGTGTGTTCTGGCTCTCTATACTGCACGGTTTCGCGTGCCGTTTGTTGCAGACTGTTCAGTGCAAGCCTGGCCGTCAAGTGGACGTCGCCTTTTTCTATTTTCATCGAGTGGATGGTGTGATCGAGCAATATGAGCTCGTTGTAAAGCTCATCTCCAATTGCTCATATTGCTCAATCACACCCGCTTCTTCTCTCCAATTGCCATTGCAATCTTCAAGATTTGTCTGCACTTCAGTTTGTTTGAGTGCTGCGCATGGAAGGAAGTTGGAAGGAAGTTGAAGTCTGGCAAATTCCTAACACTTTCTCATATCGAAACGTAGAGGCACAGTCTGGCACAGATAAATGCATCACTAGTGTCTCAAAATAAATTGAGCAAGCTCACAGGTCGCCATGGTTTCAATGCCTATATAATGTGAAAGGCCAATCTGGCTATATGCTGTAACCTCCGACTACCCGATAACGAATGCTTTGGTGCAGACAATCAGCAGGGAAGGAAGTCAGCAGAGAGACCGCAAAGCCTCAAAGACTGCACGCTAGACATCCCAGGCCTATAAGACGAGACGATGATAGGGACAGATAAATGCATCACTAGTGTCTCAAAATAAATTGAGCAAGCTCATAGGTCGCCATGGTTTCAATGCCTATATAATGTGAAAGGCCAATCTGGCTATTATGAAACCTCCCACCACCCAATAACGAATGCGTCGGTGCAGACAATCAGCAGGGAAGGAAGTCACCAGAGAGACCGTAAAGCCTCAAAGACGGCACGCCAGAAATCCCAGGCATATCAGATGAGATGATGATAGAGTCTGAACTTCCAGTCCACTGGAAGCTCAAGTGTTTCGCTTGGGATCTAATCATCAATACTTTTTAAGTTCTACCGTTTCAACCAGCAGTACCTTCCCCCCATATATAGGCCGCGGGCCCTCGCCGCAACTTCCAGAGGCCCGAAATTAACGACAGTCGCCAATGGAATTTAAATTTATCAATGGCGGCCTGGCAGTGGTGAGGGGCCCGGATAACGCGCCGCGTATTTGTATTTCAAGCGGGGAGAGGTACTGGTGGTTTAAAAACTTTAAGGTAGTAAGACAATCTAGAAACAACGTTTTTCACTTTTTCTGAGTTTTCAGAGTTTTCTTTTGCTTGCAAAATGTCAGAGGCTCAGCTCACGGTAAGCATCATCCCGACAAAAAGAAGCGTCAACAACTCGGCTCTCAAAAAGCATGGCTATTGTCGGATGACATCTCAACAAAAAAAATCTGGATAGCGGGCGCACCGTACTATCAGAATAGCATTCAGAGATGCCATCAGACAATCGCCATGCTATTCAGAGCCAAGTTGTTTGACGACAAAAAAATATTGACACAAAAATCTGAATTGCATTCAGAGCAGTGCTAAATACCCGGTCCGACCGGGGGGTCCACCTCCAACCGGAACCGGGCCGGTGGGACCGGCTGGTCGACCGGTCCAGTTGCCCCCCGGCGGCCTACAGCGCATTATAGGAAAAAGGCGGAAACAATTTTTTTTTGGGCCAGGAGGCCCCCACACGGGTTGTGGGGGCCTCCTGGCCCAAAAACAATTCGAACTGGGTAGCGCAGGCCCGCCTATGTGCATCCAAAACGGCGGCCTCTCCGGACCGCTGATCAAGGCAGATCGGCGGCCCAGATGAGGCCGTCGTTTTGAAAGTTGGAGGGAGGTCGGTCCTCCTCGGTTTCCCGCCTTTCAGAGAGAGAGAGTGCCATCCCTCCACCACTTTGAGTTGCCCGTCGCTGTCTCGAGTTGCTCGTCGCCGTCGTCGCCCGTGGCAGCTCCCGTCGTCGCCTCCTCGTCGTCGTCGTCGCCCGTGGCAGCTCCCGTCGCCGTCCTCCTCGTCTTCGTCGCCGCCCGTGGCCGTCGCCAGCAGCTCCCGTCGCCCGTCGCCGTCCGTGGCCAGCAGCGCCCGTCGTGGAGGTAAGTGCCCATTCTCTTCTTCTTCTTCTTCTTCTTCTTCTTCTTCTTCTTCAAAGGTTGTTGCTCTATGCAGCTGAGCTAAGAATGCAACTCACCCAAAAGAGTCAACGCAGCCGCCACAACAAAACAAGCAGCTTTCTTCTTCTTCTTCTTCTTCTTCTTCTTCTTCTTCTTCTTCTTCTCACCCAAGCTTACCACTTCCGATCGATCGAGAGAGAGAGAGAGAGAAAGAGAGAGAGAGGGAGTAGGCGAGCGGGCACGCGGGCTCACGCGCACGCGCGCGCGCGCGCGAGAGAGAGAGAGAGAGAGTAGGCGAGTGTGCACGCGAACGAGAGAGAGAGAGAGAGTCATTCTTTCTTTCTTTTTTTTTTTTTTTCCTAATCTTCTTCTTCTTCTTCTTCTTCTTCTGGTGCTGCTGCTGCTGCCACGTGGCCGCGAACGCCACGTGCCATCTCGGCTTCTTCTTCTTCTTCCTTTCTTCTTCTTCTTCTACTTTTTCCTCTTCTTCTATTTCTTCTTCTTCGTCTTCTTTCTCCTGCGTCTAACTACTTCCTACGAGAGAGAGCAAGAGAGAGAGAGAGAGAGAGAGAGAGAGAGAGAGAGAGAGAGAGAGAGAGAGAGGCAGAGAGAGAGAGAGAGAGAGAGAGGATCATTTTTTTATTTTATTTTTTTTCATCTTCTACTGCTGCCGCTGCCACGTGGCATCCCGGCGCATTGGGATAGACAAACGCGAATTAAGACCGGCCATGTGTGTGTGTGTGTGTGTGTGAGAGAGAGAGAGAGAGAGAATCGTTTTTATTTATGAATTTAATTTTATTTATTTTGTTGTTGTTCTTCTTCTTCTTCTTCTTCATCTTCTGGTGCTGCCGCTGCCATGGCAGCGAACGCCACATGGCATCCCGGCGCATTGGGATAGACAAACGCGAATTAAGACCGGCCATGTGTGTGTG